CTGTTAAGCCATAATCTTAGAGGGAAATAATATCTCAGCAGGGATGGATCCATGCACATCAGCAGACAAAGCTTGAATTAAATTTGGGAACTGTGGTGGTCTTTGAAGCACTCTTTGTGAGGGATGCTCCTGACTGTTTCATGGGGTGTAGATGCTTTGGCTAAGCAACTACATTTATTCATTTATTATATATTATACTTATTATAGCATTTATTCAGTCTCACCAGCCCATGCCAGCCAGGAGTATGCAGTTGTCTAACTGCAATGAGGGTCCACTTCTGGGCAGATGGGATAGCAAGGAGCCTCCTGCTCCTCAGGCTTAGACTGCAGGAGGTCTGAGCCTTCCTTATCCTAAAGGCATATGCCGGTTGTTGCCAGTCTATCAGTGGATTTGAGACTCTGCATGAATCCCACCCCAGTGTGGTAGCTCCTTTCCCCTGCCTGTGTTTCTGGTGTCAGTTATGTACATCTCTGCAGGAGGCTGTCTGCTTCTGCAAGCTCCCTCTCCCCATCAGTGATCTATCCTGTGCTGCTTGCTACAAACAAGCACTTTCAGTCCCCACTTTCACAAGCATCCTTTCCATAGGATTTTCTCTCCTCTGGTGTGGTCAGGTAATGGAGAAGGCAGTTGACCAAAGGAGCTTGCACTGAGGTCCGGGGACTCCTGGCCCATCTGAGGAGACGGCCTGAAGTTAATAGGTGTCTCCTGGGGTTCCTTCAGTGCATGTGCTTGCAGAGTGCCTGTGAAATGGAGTGCAGAGCTGGAAAGCTCTCTCTGTGATCGGAGGGAGCAGGTCTCCTGGTGAAGGGAGAGTGGTCCTTGATGCCGCTGGGGTTTTGTGACAGTTCTGCATGTCCAGGATTGCCACAGGCCTGGGAGGCAGTGTGCTGCTCCCCTCACCCGGCTGGAAGTCGGAAATGAGAAGAAATTACTCATCTGTGCAATGGTCCTGTAGGGAAGGACCCTGAGATCTGCACAGGGCATGAACACAAGCTTTGTGCTGGGCTCAAGTGGTCCCAGAACTGGAGCTTAATTTGCTGGGACTGTGAGGGAAATGGGCCATCAGATTCTATTCTGAACAATTAATTTCTTCCCTCTCTAGTTCAGACAGACCTATTGCTGCAAAATTTCACCAGTATTGTCCATATTTCAAATATTTGATATATTTCTTCTGTGAAAATAACAACCTTAGGGAAAATAAGCAATTTTGTTGCCTCTTGAACATGTAGTAAATTCACCTGAATATACAGGGGTGTGAATAACAACTGAAGACTTTCCATTCAGTCCCACAGACACCGAGTGTAATACCTCAGGAGCAAAACTCAGCTACCAGCACCTCCATTGCTGTCTACTGGACTGTGAATGAAGGGGATGCCATTGACTGCTTCCAGGTGTATTGTATGGAGGAGCCACAAGCCAGCAAAGATGAGGCAGGTGCGTACAGTCTTGGCTTCATGACAGCAGCAACCCTTTCTCCAATGATCTCAGGTCAGCAGAGGGGAGCCTGAGCTACAAGGGAGGGCCCAGGGTGCAGTGAAGAAATAATATATAGGACAAATAACAGTGGAGGAGAGCAAGATGTAGATGATGTTTCTTCTCTCCTTCATGCCAAATACAAGGTAAATATTGTGGTCTGCATAGTGCTGGGCAGTTGCTCATAGAGAAACAGCAACACGTGTATTTAGGTGCTTTTATGAAGCAACCTGACCTTCAGAGAGGATGTGTCCCTGCTGCCCTGTGGGTAGTAATGGGGACTGCAGACAGAGGTCCCAAAAGGATGGACCTGATTTGGTTTTTAGGGCCCTGCATGTATTTTGGAAATGTTTCCTAATTAAAAAAAAAAAATACAGGAAAAGATAATCAATATTTCCATAGTATTTCCACATGTTCCAGATATTTATTTTTTCAAAATGACATTACATTATTTAAAGATTAAATATGGAAATTGAGAAAAGAGGATTCAAATGCTCATTCATTAAAAAGCATGGGCTGTTCACAGAGTCACTTAGAACACCTGGTGGTACACATATCCATGTGTGCACACTAAAGGATGCATAGGATATAAATTCCACTATAAGAAATTCTCTAGAATTATCTAGAATTTCTTATTCTTTATTATCTGTTCTCTATATTCTTTAGAGAAATGAAACCAGGGCTAATAATTATTGATTGTATGTCCCAGTTTGCAGCACAATCCTCAGTAAGACTGAGAATACACTCAGCTCACGAGCATGTCAAAAACTTTCTGTCAAAACTGAGCTGGAGTAAAATCTTGAGATCTTGGCTAATAGCACCTTCTGGACTTTACCACTCTATTTTTTGCATATGAGTTGAGAGGAGCAATTATAGGCCCTAACAGTGAAATGCATAGGTGTAACAGCCTGTGTATGTTTCTCCTAGCTTTGGTGGAAGAATACAGAGTGACAGTGAAGGAAAGCCACTGCATTTTGGAGGACCTGGAGCCAGATCGCACTTACAGTGTGTGGGTCATGGCTGTGAACTGCACAGGATGTAGCTTGCCCAGTGAAAAAGCCATTTTTAAAACAGGTATGTACATAGTTTGGCATTTGATTAGTGTAAGCTTCAGGTTCCTAGTGAAATTTTTGTCCATATTGTTACTAAAGCAGATAAAGCTGATTTGTTTAGTCCATCTGGTGGATAGCAGGCAATTCACAGTCTTTTTGCTAAAAGATAGCAGCATAATTGCTCCTGAGAGGAAATTTGGAAGTATTCAGATTTGAAGATGTTTACAGTCTCAGGTCCTGCACATTACGAACTTCTCTTCTGAATGGGCTGCAGTGCTCCAGCGCAGCTCTGGGAAATCCACCCTACTGCTCTCTGCCACTGCTTCTCCTGTGGAAAATGCAGAGGGCAGCTGCCTGGTTTTGCCTCTCTGCCTTCCTCCCAAGTACATCTATGTTACATTGATTAAATGATTAACTTTGCAGGGGGAGGCCTGTTCTACAGAGGTTACATGCCATGTCTAGCTCTGTGGGACACAAATCTCAGGTGTGGCTGTGAGAGGCTCTGCTGCTGTTTAAGTGGTGTAAATTGGGATGAGTAATTAGACGAGTATTGTTTATGAGCTTCATTTGACTGAATCATTTTTCCTGAGTTTTAATTTCGTAAATAATTCGTATTGACAAAACTGTTGCTTCTTGAATTACAAGCAAGATGAAGCATCTTGTGTTCTAGACTTTATCTGAGGCCCTCATGCCAGATGATTTTTCTACTGCTAGAGGGTAAAAAAAAATAAAAAAATAAAAATAAATAAATCATTCTGTACTTGAATTTGCAAAATAAAGACAAGGATACTCAACATTTTCATAATGTGATAACTTTGTACAACATTGAGTGTATTGTTGAAATCACTTGGCAGCAAACACAACTTCAAGCCTTTTGCTTATTCCTTTAGACATCAAATTTGTTATTTTTCCATGATATTCAATTTGCTGTTCATATTTTTAGCAAGGCTGATTTTCCAAAGATTTTAAAGTAGAAATTCAACTGTTATGACATCAACAATGTAGTTGTGAGTATGATGCAGAATTCCTTTGAAGTGGTCAATCAATAACAAATCATTGCCAGCTAAGTCATTATTTATAAAGAGGTTCTCACCCCTCTCACCCAAAACTTTGGTGCTTCATAGCCCACTTAGCCCCATGAACTCAAAAACAATAATTTAGGGAGTTTATTTTCAGTATTTCAGATGAAATGTCTGTAGGAGAAAACCATCTGATGGTATATGCAGTTATGGGAACATTAATAGTGGATCAAAACTGTGCCTCTTCCGGTTGTTGGGAACTAGCCCCCCCCTCCCCCCCCCCAAGGCTTCCGCATTGAGATTGCACTCGCAGGCCTGTGAGGAAGGCAGGAGGAGCTTCTCCTATGTCTGGCTCCTTCACCTCCAAAACTCACTTCCTTTCCTAATGGGAAACACACTGTTTCACAGATATATTTTGGTGATGGCAGCAAAATATCCACCTACACCCCTTCTACCTGTCCGCCCAGAAAAGTGGTGGAGTCACCATCCCTGCAGGTATTCAAGGAAAGGTTGGACATGGTGCCTAGGGACATGGTTTAGTGGGTGACATTGGTGGTAGGGTGATGGTTGGATCAGATGATCTTGGAGGTCTTTTCCAACCCTAATGACTCTATGATTATATGATTTAAAAGGAAATTTGTATCATAATTCTGCAATCCTAAACTCAAAACTTGTCATTCAAAATTTATCTGGTATTTATCCTGTATCTGAGGGACAGAGCAAGAACATAACACATTTCCACTCTTCGCATCTTGTAAGATCACTTGTGAGTGTGCAAGAATATTACCAGGAAATCAGATATGTGTTCTAATTAGAACAGCTTGAGTAATTAGAGTTAATGTGCTAAAAAACTCAGAAGCACAGTAACAACTTTTTCTGGCTTTCTGACTCCATCTATTCTCTAGACAGATAATTTCAGATAAAAAAGTGAGTGAGATCTCGTGATGTATTGTTTGTATATCCATTAATGTGGGTATGTGTGTCCGCTTCTGAATGCAGGCATTTGGAGATTTAGCTATTCATTTTTCATTCTCTAGAAATAGATACTTTTAAAAATAGACAGTAATCATGTATGTCAGAAGTGAATTAAAGGACTATTGCCAAGGGAACTGCACAGATTTATTAGTCGATAAGAATCTATCCCACAGATTCTTTGCTCTGGTGAATACCTAGATTAGCTGTTCCTCTAGTGAAACATCAAATTAACCTGGAACCTGATTTTCACTAAACCAGGAAATCAATATGTACTTTGTTGTGTTTGTTTATTTGTTTGTTTGTTTGTTTCCTTTTCTGATAATAAGAAATTATTTTTGTTACAAAACAGAGTGATCTTGAACCTTCACTGCAGCTCTATGAGATTATCTTGTCATAAAATTGTCCTTTTTCCATCTTTTACCTAGTAGGCCTTCTATTTGAAACTTAATTACTTTAAAAGCAAGACAACTTCCTCTGACATCTTTAAATTAAAAACTTTTATTTTAATGATTAGTGTTAAGACTGTTTATCTGAGAGTCAACAACAGACTGCAATGTTCCTATGTTGCTGTTCCCTGGAAAGAGATAGAGTAAGTGAATACAACTAAACAATTTTCAGCCTGTGATATTGGGTGTGCCATTTTACACAATAGCTTTTGATTACTTGCATTCAGTGCACTGCTTTACATTCAGTTTTCTGTCTTGCAGTAGGGTTTGCAGTTCTTAAACTGAGGCTCTAAAAAAGAGAAATTACAGAACCAATTTTTAGAATCCGCATTGCAAAAATAAACAGGACATAATTAAGCAGAAACTCATCATCACCCCTCAGTTCTGCCGCAGTACATTTCTTTCTGATGCAGTTCATACAGAAACTGCTGAGGACAGGACTGAGGTAACCTGAGCAGGGCTATACACAGTAGAGTCTTGATGCTCTGCTCCATAAAGAATGGTGGAAATGGTGAAAATGTGCTTGAGCAAAGGCATAAAAATCTCCTTGGACATACTAAGGATGTGCACGTATGCACATATATTCACAGCGACTTTTCACAGAATCACAGAATTTCTAGGTTGGAAGAGACCTCAAGATCATCGAGTCCAACCTCTGACCTAACACTAACAGTCCCCACTAAACCATATCCCTAAGCTCTACATCTAAACGTCTTTTAAAGACTTCCAGGGATGGTGACTCCACCACTTCCCTGGGCAGCCTGTTCCAGTGTCTAACAACCCTTTCAGTAAAGAAGTTCCTCCTAAGATCCAACCTAAAACTCCCCTGGCGCAACTTTAGCCCACGAGGGGGAATGCCCCCTCGTCCTGTCACCAGGCACGTGGGAGAACAGGCCAACCCCCACCTCGCTACAGCCTCCTTTAAGGTACCTGTAGAGAGCAATAAGGTCGCCCCTGAGCCTCCTCTTCTCCAGGCTGAACAAGCCCAGCTCCCTCAGCCGCTCCTCGTAGGACTTGTTCTCCAGGCCCCTCACCAGCTTCGTCGGCCTTCTCTGGACCCGCTCGAGCACCTCGATGTCCTTCTTGTAGCGAGGGGCCCAAAACTGAACAGTTTCCAGCATGTCTTTTTTTCCCCTGTAATGTAAACCTTTGCTGTTGAAACACAAATAAGCAAAAGATCATTGCTGGACAGGTAAATCTAACTGTCCTTTGTTTTTTTGGGGGGGAGATGAGTCTTCCTTTCCCTTGACAGCATCTCAGCAGCTGCTGGTACCTGCCTTGCAGTGCAGCTAATGTGTTCCTGTGTCCACAGCACCTGCCATCCCCACCATCAAGGCTGAAGACTGCATGGTGTGCTGGGACACAGCCACCATACGCTGGCACGATGGCTCAGCAGCAGCAGAGTCCTTCACCCTGGAGTACTGCCGACAGCACTCGCCGGAAGGAGAGGGTCTCAGGTCAGTGCTGCGGTTGCAAATGTTGCTCAATCAGATTAGGCAGATGTTAATGAGTGCTTCCCAGACTGCGGGTCATTACGCAAGAGATTATTCTGTCTTCAGCTGCGCAAGAAAGAAATCAGCTTCTGCATGCTGAAGAACTTAGTGGCTGGATACTAATCTATGAGATTAGGCTGAGAGACATAAAAACACTTCTTTTTTATTCTGCTTAACCAGAGAATGCCTTTCGCTTGGGGTCAAAACCCTGGAGATGTTGCACTGTCTGCAATCAACCAGAAGTTGCAGGGCTGTGCTGGCTGGGGAAGCAATCACTCCCCCACAGCTGTGATAGCCCCAGGCAGGGCAGGAGAGGGCAGCTGAGCTCTGTGGGAGACAGTGGGATGGAGGAGTCCAGCCCAGTGTGCTCTCTGCTTTCTGGGGAACAAGATAGGAGCCAGCTGGAGGACACAGCAAGGTGAGATACTGGTATCACAGTAATGTCAGTGACCCACCTGTGAATGTGCAGATCCCTCCCAAAGCACAGCAGAGCCCTGCGCTGTTCTGCTCTGCATGTGTGTGTCTGCACCACTCTTTGCAAAAATACCACTTGAGTCTGCAGCAACACAAAGAACAGCTTTGAAATTCAGGGTGGCATATGCTTTTGTGAGACCCTCTCTGGTTTCCCCTACACTAAGTGTGAGTGGCATACAGGAGAAGCCAAGAAGAGACATAGACACCACTAGGCAGCCAAACCATTGGTTGTGTTGAAACGCAGAAAAAAATATGTGGTAGTCTCTATGTCCTTATTTTGTATTTTGTTGTTGCTGTTTGTTTGTTCAAAAAAATCCCCTTGCAATAAAGATTAGTTAAGTGGATTAAAGAGCTCACAGGTTTCTAGTAGACAAGTAAGTGCATTTGTGTGTATCTTGTTCCTTAGAAAAGTAGGCTAAAAACTGAAAGAAGAAACTTCTGCAGGGTTGGGAGACCTTGTTTCACCCAGTACCAGCATGCCGTGTTAATGCAAACAAGAGGAGGAGGAGGCATCTTGCCCAGATTTCCTGCTCTCTGGGAGGGCAGCCATGACCTCCTCTGTTTTATACATATTTCATGAGGCCATCAGGTTGCTGTCGAACTGCCAAAGTCACTGTCGGTCAGGGATAATGTAGCTGCTCCCCAAATTTGGGCTGTGTACTTGTCCTTAAATTTCTTTGCTGTTAACTGCAATTGCCTCTTTTTCTCAAAACTGAACCAGCAAGTGCGTCCATTTCTGTAATCTGTGAGAGAAGTGGTGTTAAAACCAAGCCGTTTGCTAGTGTGGAGATAACTGTTGCAACAAGCTGCCAGAACTGACCCATTACCTTTTTTGAGTAAGCTCATGCAAAATGTAAAATGTCTATAATCATACAGAGTCACATTTGACTTTTTGGCCTTTATGTGGGCAGCAGCTGTCCTTTTACTGTGACAACTACAAAAAATTCACAGACAACAAAATCATGACTTTTCTCAGAATTGCTTCAGTTGAAGATCTCTGTGTTTGTGGAAGGGTTCTGACATCATCTTTTTACAGTGTCAAAGACCACCTTTTACCACTTATTTTCCCTCTTATTTGCTTCTCTTTACTTTTCCAAAAGCACCCCCTCTAAGATTAACCTGGAAAGTTTAGTCCATAATGGTACAGGATGGAGAATTTATTTCTTTTTTATTGTATTTTATTTTTTTTTTTCATAAAAAATAGAAATTTGGTAGATGGAGCATACTGCCTGTATTGCTTCCAACACTGCTGATGTGCAAGGTAGGACTAGAAATCAATTCGTCATGTAGCTGATCAGTGAGACACATAGCTCCAGGAGGTGAGTCAGGTCTTAGATGAGCAGAGGTGCTTTTTGGAAGTACATGTAAGGAGCTTTGAGTTACTCTGTCAAGTACCTATACTAGGTGGGATAAAATAGTGTATTTATACCCGCCTAGGAGCATTTGGGCCTTGAAATGCTATAGTTTCTATTGACTACTTTCCTTGAAAGCTCAGAGTATGTCCTTCACCCATTTCCTGAGCAACATTCATCCTGGGGACCTGCCAAACACACAGCCTTCCAACAGACAGCCTGTGCCTCTCATGCTTGCCCCAGTCCCTTAGCTGAGCAATTCCCCCGTCACTGGGTGGGAGTCCAAATTCATTTCCCAGCAGCCCTGTGAAGTTCATACAGCTGCTCTCAGGGGCACAGCGGGTAAGCAGCAGTGAGGGAAGGCCACCTAGAGAACTTGTGGGCAATAATGTTCAGATATCTCACTAACTTCACTTGGAGAAAAAGATTCCGTCTCAGCTTGCATGGCTGTTTTCATGCAAGCTGTTCTGGAAGCTCACACAAGCCAAGGAACACTGCCAAGAGAGCAAGCAGGGTGAAATGCCCCCATCAAACAGCTGGGGCCATGTGTGGAGCCCCTGGATGGGACCCGCCCATTGTAGCCTTCAGCATGTCCTTGCGCAATCCCAGCTCCCCAAGGAGAAAACTTGAGGAACCTCTAGAAATAAATCCTCACAAAAAAAAGTTTCCTTCTACATACCATCAAAAAATCTAGATTTTCATTTCTGGGTTCTCTTTGCCAGCTTGGCATGGTTTTGTATAAAACAGTGTTAAGCCTTCTACAACCACAAGTCCCTGGCCTGCTGCTGTGCTTTTCAAGCTCCTCACTGGGTTGATTCTTTTTCCAGAGTCTTTATGCAGCTTTGAAACGTTTCTTTCAGTTTCCAGAGCTCTGCTATTTTCTTGCTGTTCAGACTCTTTCTGTTGAGAAGTCAATGGAACTGTGGGTGGAAGATGGAAAACTGTGAGAAGTGTAGTCCAGGGATTAGGTGTGTGGGCTGTTCACATGGAAGCCATCTATTACATCATATGTAAGGCTCAAGGAGACAGAAATTAGTACATTATGCAGTGAGTTCATAGAAGTGGAAGTGACTGAATGTCACCCTCTCCACTAATGGGAGACTGACACCACCATTGACTGAAATTTTCTGTCTCCTCAAAGGACAGGTCTGGAAACAGGAGAGCAAACCTCCCTCCTGCTGTTTTGCCCATGACCCTCCAGCCAGCTCAGGAAGCAATGTGTAGAAAATAGGGTATCTTCCTCCTCTCTGCCTGTTCTGAGTTTGACATCCTAGATAGAGGTGAAGACCATTGCAGATGGTGCTTTGTTGATCTAACACTGCAACAGTCGGAGCCAGGACAGAGGAGAGGAAATGAAGCATGCAGCACAGCTGGAAGGGAACTCAGAGAAGTTCGCTCTTTATATTTAGCTTATAGGGCTTTTTTGCACTCATGGTGTACCCCTTTTGTGTGCTTCTGCATCTGTCTTTGGAAGCCTGCATGTCTTCAGCTATGACTTGGTATCAGTGGTACCTGCACAGGTCTGGAGGTGTTGTTTCAGTGTGATATTGGGGGTGGGAATTGCAATGACAACACAGAGGGTGTTCTGAATCACTACAAGGCATATCATTTGCTGGGTTTATGCAATATTAAGAAATACCCTCTAGATACTGCTTTCTTGAAATAAATGAGGATGCTGATGAGAGGAACATGCATCAAAACACAGAATCAAGTTTCCCTAAAAACAGGGAAATCACAAATGTAGGAGACAGTTGCTACTTGTCAATTTAAAGGTGAAGAAGCATGTAACTCCTTTCTGCTCTGCTTTGAATAGCGCATGCCTGAAATTTGGAGCCTGAATTTTGAAACTTACAGATTATTCTTAGGAAGATAAAGAAGAGATGCACAAAATACTTAAATTCAATGTTTCCTGAATTTCTGTGCTCTGTAATTTGTATCATGATACCAGGATGTTGTGGGGAAAGTGTAAATGTGATAATATTTATGCTAAAGGCCAGAATGCATCATGCTTTGACAATAACGTTATTACATTTCCAATCACCTGTGAAGTAGTCAGGTCTATTTCACGTAGAAAAAAAAAAAAAAAAAAAAAAAAAAAAAAAAAAAGTTGTAGTTGCATTTCTTTTTCCTTCATGGCCAAAATTACATGCTTCAATACTTTAGGTGGGAGTGAGAAAGACCTAGCTGCAATGATTGTTACAAGAACTCAGAAATTAAACAGGCTTTTACCCAAAACAATCAGGATATTAGAAACGCATTTCCCCTTCCCTTCTCCCATGCTTGTCCTCTATTGCTGTAAGCTGGGCAGTAATCATACCTTCTTTTCCTCTTTACTTTTTCATTACTGATTACATGGTTAACCTGAAGCATGACAAACAACAGTAATTGCTAAGAGCCTTAGAAGCCCTCAGTATTCACTTTCCTCCCTCCACCCTATCCTCTAGACAGAAAGGCAATAGCAAAACCTATTTCTTCTTTGCACTCAGCTTTTCATGAGCTTGGAGCTGGCTCAGTGTTGCAAGTGAAATTCCTTCTTGTTGGCATATACTGTTTCATTAGTTGGCAGCAGCAGTACTGTTTTTAAGCCTTAATCGTAGCTAAAAATGATGGACTCTTACTCTTAGGCAGCTTAGAGATGGCTAAAAAAGATTGCCAAGCAGAGAACACTGTT